GCTGCTGCTGCTGCTGCTGCTGCTGCTGCTGCTGCTGCTGCTGCTGCTGGGGCAGGATGGAGCCCCTCCCTGATCCTAAACATGATAGAGTTGTATCATCAGTGCAGCCGCCTCCAGCTAAACCCCTAGCACTGAATGTTCTTTACCCCCAAGGACAAGACAGCCCCCCAGACTGGAAAGTGAGGGTTTAGGGTTTAGGGTTTAGGGTTTAGGGTTTAGGGTTTAGGGTTTTGAGGGGTTGAGGGTTTCCGGTTGATATCAACAGACCCGACCAGGGATATAAATACTCCTCATGCAATTCTTCGTATGGATCCTCCCTAACTTAAGGGTACTTAAGGGTACATGAGGGTTTAGGGTTTAGGGTTTAGGGTTTGTTGTTTTTAGGAGCTGCGGTCGCACCTTCAACGGGAAGGCCGCGTGTTTAAAGAAGATTGTTTAGAGATCATCAGAAAGGTCAACGACATCACCAGCAACGAGCCAAACCTACTTAGGCTCAGCGACCCCATCACAGGTACGGTTTAGGGTTTAGGGTTTAGGGTTTAGGGTTTAGGGGGAGGAGGGGGGCCTTGAGGGGGTTTTGCTGTTGGGGCAAATTTGCAAACGGGTCAGGGAGATGCTGCAAAGGTGAGGGTTTAGGGTTTAGGGTTTAGGGTTTAAGGTTTAGGGTTTAGGGTTTGCTCTGTGCAGTGGTTGGAGACATTCACGGGCAGTACTATGACTTGCTGAAGTTGTTAGATGTGGGGGGCGACCCCGACACCACTCAGTACGTCCTTCAGGGTTTAGGGTTTAGGGTTTAGGGATTAGGGTTTAGGGTTTAGGCGTGAACCCAAAACCCTTTAATTGTTTAATAGGTTTTCTCACGTTCTCTTGACCAGTTAAGGGTGTAGCCCTAAACCCTAAACCCTTAAATTCTTATTTTGGGGCCTTTTATGCTTGCCTTGGATGAATGATTTAGGGTTTAGGGTTTAGGGTTATTTAGGGTTTAGGGTTTGTGATTGTATAGGTATTTATTTTGGGGTTATAAAGGCTTATTAAGGGTTACTAAGGGTTATTAAGGGTTATTAAGTGTTATTAAGGGTTATTAAGGGTTATTAAGGGTTATTAAGGGTTAATTAGGGTCTAGGGTTTAGGGTTATTTAGGGTGATTTAGGGTTTAGGGTTTGTGGTTGTACAGGTATTTATTTTTGGGGGACTACGTCGACCGAGGCAGTTTTTCGGTCGAAGTTTTGCTGCTTTTGTTTGCTTTGAAGCTTAATTATCCTAGCCGAGTTTGGTTGCTTAGAGGGAACCACGAGTGCAGACAAATGACGTCTTTCTTTAACTTTCGCGATGAATGCGAATCAAAGTACGATATGGCTGTCTATTATGCATTCATGGAGGTAAACCCTAAACCCTAATTCACCCTCAATCACCCTAAATAACCCTCAATAACCCTAAACCCTAAACCCTAATTCACCCTAAATAACCCTAAATAACCCTAATTCAACCTAAATAACCCTAAATAACCCTAATTCACCCTCAATAACCCTAAATAACCCTAATTCACCCTCAATCACCCTAAATAACCCTAAACCCTAATTTGCCCTGAGAAACCCTCAATAACCGTAACTAACCCTAGAAAACCCTAAACCCTAAACCCCAAGTAACGCTAAACCCTAATTTACCATGAGAAATCCTATATATTCATTTTTAACACATCCGTAGAAACCCTAATTATTTATCTTTAATAAACCCTAATTGTTAATCCCCGATAAACCCTAAAGCCTAATAAACCCTAAACCCTAGGACACCCTTATAAACCCTAATTATTAAACCGTAGTAAACTCTGAACAACCCTAAACCCTGAACAACCTTAAACCCTAAACCCTAGACCCTGTTTTTTTGTGGTTTGATTTAAGCTGCGGTGTAGATGCAGCGAGGTAAGCCTTTAGCATGTCCTAATGGTTGAGGGTTTGTTATGCTTCTCTTTCTTGTCTCTGTGCAAACAAACAAAAACAAATAAATAAATATTAAAGGCTTTCGATGCACTGCCTCTCGCCGCTGTCATCAACGGAAAGTTTCTGGCTCTTCATGGAGGACTGAGCCCCGAGTTGAAAGTGGTAAGGGTTTAGGGTTTAGGGTTTAGGGTTAAGGGTTTAGGGATTTCAAGGGTTTAGGGTTTAGGGTGATCCCGGAGGGTATATGGATTCGTTTGAAGAGCGGTTTGTTGGGGTCTGCGTACTCTTGCGTCTTTGTCTTGAGTGGCCTAGGGTTTAGGGTTTAGGGTTTAGGGTTCAGGGTTTAGGGTTTGCGTTCAGCTGAGTCAAATAGGAGGCATCAACCGCTTTCAAGAACCTCCACGTGGGGGTTTATTCTGCGATCTTCTTTGGGCTGACCCCTTAGACGAAGCTAGAGAAGACGCAGAGGCGCAGCTCGCTCAGAGCACTGACGGTCCCTAAACCCTAAACCCTAAACCCTAGCTCCTCCTCTAAACCTTAAACCCTAGCTCCCCCTCTAAACCCTAAACCCTAGCTTCGCTAAACCCTAAACCCTGGCTCCGCTAAACCTTAAAGCCTTGCTCTTCTAAACCCTAAACCCCTAAACTTAGCTCCTCTAAACCCTAAACCCTAGTTCGTACTGTAAACCCTAAACCCTAGCCCCCCTAAACTCTAAACCTGGGGAAGCAGTGGCGCGTGTATCAATGGCTGTGATTTCTATGGGTGATGAATCAAATCAGGGGTTTTAGGGTTCAGGGTTTAGGGTTTAGGGTTTAGGGTTTAGGGTTTAGGGTTTGGGGTTTGTGCGCATCAGGTGGTCAAGATAATGCACGCAAACATCGTGCTAGCTGAAGAAGGCAGCGCCCAGAGAAGTCGCCCTCCAAGTAAGGGTTTAGGGTTACGGCTTAGGGTTTAGGGTTTAGGGTTTAGGGTTTGAGAGTTCTGCGAGGCCTCTGAATCCCTTGGCAAGAGCTGAGTTGCAATTGTGTGTGAATTGTAACCCATTACGGCCTAGGGTTTAGGGTTTAGGGTTTAGGGTTTAGGGTTTAGGGTTTGTATGAACAGGCGCTGGAACCCCCATAAGCAGGGAGCGCGCTGAAGCCCTGAGACGCAAAGTGCAGTCTGTGGGGCGGCTGATGAGGGTTTTCAAAACTATACGGTGAGGAGGCTCAACGTACACCTGAACCTGCTGCAGCTGCAACGGCTGCAGAAGCTGCAGCAGCTGAAGGAGCTGCAGCAGCTGCAGTAGGTGCGGCGCCGCAAGAGTCGGTGCAGCACTTCCTGATGCTGCTGCTGCTGCTGCTGTTGCTGCTGTTGCTGCTGCTGCAGGGAGGAGAACGAACTCATTGTGCAGCTTAAGGGCTGCACGCCGGGGGATCGGATCCCCGTCGGCCTTCTTATTCAGGGAAGACAAGGCCTCAAGAACGGTGCGTCTGATGCAGCAACAGCAGCAGCAGCAACAGCAGCAGCAGCTGCTGCTGCTGCTGCTGGAGCAGCAGCAGAGACGAGCTTACACACCCCAGGGTTTAGGGTTTAGAGTTAGATATCAGCGATCAGCATAAGGGGTTTAGGGCTTTGCATTTGTCCTCGGGTCTTCCGGCTTCGAACTTTGAGGGTTTGTCGCCTGGGCGAGGGGTTTAGGGTTTAGGGTTTAGTGTTTAGGGTTAGAGGTTTATTGTCTATAGTGTATCGTTTAGACTGTGGGGTTTAGGGTTTAGTTCTCGGGGTTTGAGGGCTAGGGTTTAGGGCTTCGAATTTAGAGTTTAGGCCTGTTCACAAGTTAGGCTTTAGGGTTTAGGGTTTAGGGTTTAGGGTTTAGGGTTTAGGGTTTAGGGTTTGGGGTGTGCCTGCAGAACTGGAGAAGTTCCAAAATGCGAAGCAAATCGATGCTATGAACGAACGAAGGCCGGACGGGGCTCCAAAGCGTTAGGCATCAAGGAGGGATTTAGGGTTTAGGGTTTAGGGTTTAGGGTTTGGTCAGA